AAGTAACATTGATAACATTGAAATTGTGGAAGATTCTGTACCAAAACAAAGACGTCCAAATGAAGATTATCTTGCTACACGAAGAGCAGCTGCCAAAGTTTGTGATATAATAATTACTCAAGTGGGAGATAGATTTAAGTTTACCAATCATTTGATTGCATCTAAATTATTAATGTCAGAAAACTTTCTGCACTTTACCAAAAACTTTCCTTTGGCCTATCTCGAATCTACCATTGAATCATCCATTTTTAAACAAAGCTAGCTTGCAAACTGAATTAAAAATTATATATGACCGGCCTGATTTTAGAAGTATGTCTGGTGCTTTAGTTTTCCTCAAATTTATTATTGAAAATTCTCTTCAAGACGTTTTTACACAGACATACATTTTGTTACAAATTTTAATAACAATGCCGATGACCACAGCAGAAGCCGAGAGATGTTTCTCGACGTTAAAGCGCATCAAAACTTTTCTACGAAGTAGGTACCTTCAATCTGTACAACTTCGAGGTTTAGATAAAAATTTGGAAAATGTGAACATTACGGCACCCGAGCCACCGGCGATATGCTCAACTGAAACAAATGACAACAAGCGTCACAAAAATGTTTCTGCGACCGACACTAAAAACAAAGAAGAAATAAGTTGTACCAGCAAAGTGCAAGATACAGTTCAGCATAATAAAATGGAGAGTATTCTAACACAGTCATTCGAAGAAAACTTATTCTGGCCGAAAACTCCAGAAAGGAAAAACAAAAGAAATGTGGAACGAATGCCTTACGTTTTAACTTCAACTGGTTGGAAAAACTTAAAAGATAAGAAGGAACAAGAAAAGCAATCTAAAATAGAAGAAAAAAACAACAGGAAACGTGCTAGAGAACTTAAAAAAGCACTTAAAGATGATGTTCAAAACAAGAAGAAAAACAAACTAGAAACAAAAGTAAAAAAAACAAGTGCAAAAACTAAACAACCGCGAAAAAAACAGAACATTGAAACAAATATTTCTGACAGGCAAGAAAAAATCATCGTAGAAACAAAAACAATCAACGAAGAGAAGAAGTTTGAAAAACCCAAAGTTAACATCATATCATGCGTTTCAATTCCGCAGCAAATTAATCTTGTCGAAATATCTCCAGTTGAGCGATGCAAAAAGCACCTGTTTTTAGAGTCAAAAACCTCAATTTTGAAACGATTAAATTCTGGGATGTGTTTCGTATGTGCTGATAAAATCAGCGTTTATAGAGATGGTGTCAAATGTAAAACTTGTACGAGAACGTTTCATGTAAACTGCTTAAAGAAAAAAGATCCAGGTCTAGATTTAATGTTGGACTATTTGTGTAACACTTGTTTAAATAAAAAGCAATAAATTATTCGTATTATTTTTCCAAATTACGTAATTAGTGATTTTATGTGTGCCTACAGTGTCATTATTTCTGATATGTTTTCAAAATACGGTGCCAATAACTGTAGTAATCTGGCCAATAACCGTACATATTCAAAGATTTATGTTCACAAATAAAAATAGTGTGAATTGCTCAAAGTATGACAAAACGGCTATATGCGTTTCAAAGAAGCAAGTTTCAGCTACTTGTTAATACCTATAAGTTCTAAGAAATTTGTTCGTATTAAAAAATATGGCTAATAATTCACCCACAAATCCTTAAAGGGCCAATAACTGTACCGCTTACCCTATTTGTATTACACAAAAACCCAAAAATTCACGATGTAGCTTGGACAACAAGGTATCCGGCAATACATAATCGCAAAACATTAAATCAATGGCTTATTTTTAGAATGGAACCAAAGTTAAAAGAGCCCTTATTGGTGCCAATAACTAGGTAGTTTACCCTATATTATTTGCAACTAAAGCCTTTAATGGCCAATCATACCTTGTACTTACCCTGTTGTGGAGAATCCGTTTTTCAATCGCCAAATTTTGTTTACGAACTGAATCACTTACCTTTGTCCAACGATCCATCCCTTTATTTCGAACGCCTACCTCTTCGACTTCGATGAGGCATTGAATTAAACTACGCATTGTTTTTGCGGCTAGAACTAGGAACTGTCACAAAACAACGAACTGTTTTAAAAATACAACCCGAACAAACACACAAAATACGAACAATTCACTACAGTCAAAAATTTATCACATTAAAATAATGGTAGATAATCGAAAAATATATATTGCCACCGTCTTGGCCCAAACTTTACCGACAAACACTTGCACACATTTTCTGCCATGCCAGTTCGTAACTGTTTTAATGGACGCCACGCGAAAACGAAACTACTACGACGCACCACATGGTTTTCAAATGCGCGCAAGCGCAATGGCACATACCGTACGATCGAGAACCTTTTGAGTTACAGTTGGCCACAATAAACTTCAAACGATTAGCATCATTAATCTGGAAGTTAAATTGTCTCACATATCTAAGACTACTATATTTCTAATGCAGAGATCGCATAGAGTGGTTGTTCACATTCAAAAAGTGAGAGACATAAGTGAGGGAAGTTTCTGCTTTCTGTCTCTATGACAACCAATTGTTTTGCACATGAACTGTTGATGTGATGTCGTCCCACTGTATAGTACGGTTACCGAAGCTCTGGAGTTGTAAAAGTGCGTGATCTTCACGTAATTTTTCAGAGCTGCAATACTACTGGTCAAGGGATGTTTGCCGAGAACCTGCACTCGGTCGGATTAGTTAGTCATCACGCGAGGGGCACGTGATCATTATAGAGCTTGGGTAACCGTACTATAGCTCACGAGTACACGAAAATTGTATTTCAAATTCATTGAAAACGAAAAAATCTGACGGCAAAATAGACAATGCACAAAAGTGGTTACATCAGTCGATAATGTGCAGCTGGTTTCAAAAAAAGCGGGGAAAATGACAGTGACATGAACGTCATATTCCCATTGCTTTTCATTGATCTATGAGAACCTGACTTGCTCATCTTTTCCCGTTTTTTGTGAAACCAGTTGTCCATAACGTTTAAACTGATTTGATAAGTGTTGATTTCAGAATCTTTTGATATCCATAATATACATTTTCCTCAGACGTTATCCGTGATTAGTTGAATAAAATACATATAATCTGAAAAATTTAATGATGATCAGTTTAAATTTAGTGTCAATAATAATTTACACAAAATTTCATACTTCAATTTTGTGCAAACGTTGGGCAGCTGTTAAAGGTTTTTTAATAAATAGATTTTTTTGTTCTAGAAAGCTTTTTGTTTGTTTTTACAAACATTTAACAGTTTTAATTTAATAGCCAGTTAAAATATACTTTTCTGCGTAAATTAGCAGGTATTTGTTATTTTGAGAGAGTCAAGATTTCTTTAAAAATCTAAAAAAAAATTAAAATTGCAGTAGTGCCATCTTTTGGTTTAAATTTGAACGCTTCAACATGCCGTCATAACCTTAAAATTTTGAATACAAATTAGAACGAACAATTTTGTTGATACATACGTTTTATGGTACGGTAAAGAAATTTATAAAAAATAAGTTTATTTGATTAATGTGTATAATGTTCTAAAATTTCAAAATTTCTGCTCTTCCTAACAAAATCTAACATCAGTCGCATCAGACATCTGAAAGACGTAATTAAAAAAATATTTGAAATAAAAAAAACACGTCTCATGTTTTAATACAAAAGAAGTATGTGTTTTAAAACAATTAAACAAACCATTTTTATTCACTAAGATCTCTAGCACCTGTGCTTCAAAGCAATCAAAGCGCAAAACAAGACCGAGTTAGTATTGAAATCACTTGCTTCATTTACTTTGTAGATTATTCTGATTTGGTCAAAAGTTTCCGGTTATTAATACCGAATAAATCAACGTAATTATTTAAAAGTTCAAACACAACAGTCCAAAAAGAAGAGATAAGTGATAAGAAATAAGAAATACAAATTTTCCGCACGTACAAATGGGTGTAACAACGCTTAATACTGAAATAGGGAAAAGAAATACAAGAAAACATATTTATTTTCTTATCGCTTATTCTTTATTTCGTATTTCTTGCATTGTGTTTGGGCATTTAGTCCGATAAATAAGATGTACACGTATGTCAGCACTATTCTAGTGCTAAGTAGTATAAACGGTAAACGTTATTAAAACTTATTGCATATCGTCAACTACATATAAAGCGGATCCAGACTGTCGACGCACACTAATGTGGTCTGTATCTCAGTCTGATTTGCGTAAGGAATAAACACGCTTAAAATTATGTAATGTCATTATTAAACCAACACTGTCAACTAGACGATATGTGCCATATAGCTTACTGTAAGTAAAAAAGTTTTCGGTCACTCGATATTTGTATCCAAATATCTGAAACATGAACGATCTGAAACTACATAGGTACTGGGATTTGAAATAAAAAAAAAATAACCAAAAATGGAAGAAAATTATTTTATTCGAGCAATAACAGTAATTATATTGAAGGTTTAGCAATCACAGAATGTTGAATGGATTTGATTTATTTATTAAATCATTATTTATCTATACTTGTCGAATCTATGTGACTGTATGATAGTGCTTGTAGTTTGATTATAAGCTACTAATAAGATATGAATTTATTTTATCGATTATTCTGATCACAGTTTATGTAATTTCCAGAAAATCCGTATAAAAAATATAATAATTCATGTTATACTGATTATCCCTCTAAAGCGTTCATAGCATCACCACAAAAAATTTTAAACGAATAGTTGATGTGACGGTATTATTCAAAATTTTTTCAGATCTTAGTAGATATCTAAAGGTTTTAAAAATTGCTAAATAAAAAAACATGAATGCTTTTTAAATATTTTTTTAAATTAGTTTTATAAACAGAATATTTTTATCAAAATGATTTATTTACTTAACCCAAAAACTCACACATTTCATGCTTTAACAACTGCTGTGATTTTTCTTTATCTAGCTGCACCCATATTTTATCAACCTTACTATATCTTATCACCCCTTTTATAAAATTACAAGGATATAATTGTTTTTAAATGAGTAGTTAGTTTTTATAAAACAGATGGTAACACCACGATAAGGAATTATTGTGTAAACGACTTTTCTACAGTGTGTAACACATACATCATTTATCATGTTTACAATATATTTCTATGTATGTTTAATGTATGTGATAAATTATACAGAATCTGCAAAAATTCTTGGTGCTGTGTTTACACCCTCATATAGTCATCAACTGGCATTCCAACCCATATGGAAAGAACTTGCTTTAAGAGGTCATGAAGTTACCGTGTTAACAACAAACCCTGTACACGATCGTTCATTAAAAAATCTAAAAGAAATTGACTTAAGTATGTCATATGACGTGATGAAGTCCTACCAAGCTGACAATTTATTGTCGGTAACAAACGAAAGTATCGTCATACGGTACAGAAAATATATGGATGCGTTACACGAAGTAGCAGATAGACAACTATCTCACCCACAAGTGCAAGATCTGATTGTGAACAAGAGAAATCATTTTGATTTATTGATGGTAGAAGCTATTTATCCTACTCAAATGGCTCTCTCATGGTGGTTTCAAATTCCTTTCATAGGGATGATATCGCTAGATGCCCCATCTAGAATTCACGCAGCTGTTGGTAATCCAGTACATCCAGTTTTGTATCCCGACTACGACCTTCCATTTGACAAAAACTTAACGTTTTGGGAACGACTTATTAGTACGATATTTCAGTGCTTCATGATGTGGTACACGGAGTACAGACTCCATCCAAGAGAAGAAGCAACAATCAGAAAGCATTTTGGAAACAACACACCGTCGATTAACGAAATACAAAAGAATATGAGCATGTTATTTATTAACGTTAATCCTATATTTCATAACATCAGACCGATGGTACCAGCCACTGTGCAAATAGGTGGAGGTTTACATTTAAATGATCCCAAACCTCTTCCTGAAGATATTCAAGAATTCTTAGATAGCTCTCACAATGGATTCATATATTTTAGTTTAGGCACGAATGTTAAAAGTGCTGCACTTCAAAATGATACAAAGGAGACTTTAATAGAAACTCTGTCTGAGTTGCCATTTAACGTGTTATGGAAATTTGAGGATAAAAATATAATAACTAAATCCAATGTAAAGGTGACACCATGGGTACCACAGACGGCTGTTTTAGGTAATATATTTAATTTATAGAAAACAAAACGATCATATTACTTTTAGCGCAGAGAAATATTAAGTTATTTATCACGCAATGTGGCTTACAATCAATGGAAGAGGCGATTATGTACAACGTGCCCATGATAGGGTTGCCTTTTTATGGCGATCAAGGTAACAACGCTAAAGTTCTAGAAAGAAAAGGACTTGGTATTACTTTGGATCCCAAACATTTAAAAAACGATGAGCTTATAGCTGCTATTCAGACAGTTACCTCAGATCCGATGTAAGAATATAGCCGTTTTTTCTTCTTAAGCTCGACTAAATCTGTTACAGGTATAAACAAAATCTTAAGGAAACGGCCCAGTTATACAAAGACGAGGCAATGTCGGGCTTAGAAAAAGCAGTTTGGTGGACTGAATATGTAATACGCCATAAAGGAGCAAAGCATTTAAAATCTCCGGCTGTCGATGTACCTTTATATCAATACCTTCTTCTTGATGTTATTGGTTTCACTGTTGGTGTTATCCTTTTTGCTGGGTACCTCATCAAATTTTCTTTTACGTTACTTTTTGGACTTCTTAAATTTATTTACACAAGTATTTTTACGACAAAAAGTAAAACGAAAAAAGATTAAAACTATACGTTTTTGAAAAATCTTTTAATCAATAAAAATTATTTTGTCGATATAAATTGAATTTTTTTGTTCAGTCTACTCGTGATGTAAGTTGGATAATACAGATTTAGAATCACTTTAGCTTCTTTTATCATGTATTCAACATTTCGTAGAAAAGCCCTGAAAATTTCACACTTGTATTATACGAATTATCATTTACACTGGCTTACTTGAGATTTGTGCAGTTTTTGTGCTGTCCATTCTGCAGGCAATGAAGGATGGCAAGTGCAGCTTCGTAAAGTTTTGTCCCAATACCTCTAGAGTTATTGCCGCGACGAGCTTTCTCATTCTCTAACCACAGATGAAAATATTTAAACATATTTTCGGCGTCTCCTACAAAAAATTAACAAAGTCGTCTCAAACAATCTGTTTGCAGTTGCATACCGTGGTCAACATAGAAACTGTACAACCTATAATAGACTTCCTCAAAATCCTTATGATGTTTATACAAGATTTTTTCCCGGATTTTCAAACTTTTTATTAAAAGTTCCAGTTGGTTGGTGGAATCAGCTGCAACGAAAATTTCAAACTGACATCAACCCTGCATGAACTACACTCACTTTCCAAATATTTTTGAGCTTCATTGTTAATCTTCCTGAAAGGTTTCAAATCATACTTTTCACCACAATTAATGCAGAAACTTAGGCCGGTGTTATTAATTTCAGGAACCATTCCCTTACACTTTGGACACAAGTAGCTATCAAGCATGTCCTTGAAACGAATTGTCACATATGTCATTACTACTACTAAGAATTACTTACCAACTCGTGTGCTGGATCAGAACAAATGACGCATTTACATTCAAAATGGTAGAGTTTTCTACACGCATATTGTCGTTGTTCCCTGACCATACCCCTATAATCTATTCCGTAACAGTTGAAAATTTCTTCATTTTGAGGAATATCCTCTAATGCTTTAACAACTATAGTATCACAGATGAAACTAAAACAATTTATTGTATAAACTGTAACACATATACAAAAACTTATGTCCATAAAGATAATATCAATGTAATTTTGAACTCTAAAAGGTTCATTAATATTTACATTCTATTATCCGTATGTATTTTCGGTAAAATAATTACTTACTAATTCGTTACATTTGGCCTGCATGAATGATTCATAATGCTAACAGAAGGAAATATTCCACAAGCTATAGTTATAAGAACATCTGGAAACAATAAATCCGACGAAGAACAACTCCAATGTTCTATGGTACTTGAATTGCACGCAAGTTGAGCGATGTGTTTGGTTATAAGGCCACCAATATATTTGATCAAACTATCTAAATCTTTCTTAGGACAGTTTGACTGTTTCAAAAACCACGTGAAAAAATCCGTATACTTTTCCAAATACGAAATAACGATAGCAGCCATAACAATATAGGGTGCTACATTCTTATTCTTATAAATGTTAGACAATAGTCGGTTAAAATAACGATAGTTGTCTTCCTTGTCCCCAAAGCATTTCACGTCATCCTCAAAACTGCATTCCAAAGTGCGAAATCCCGATAAAGTACCTTGCAACATTGCTTTAAACGCGGGGAAAGCAATACCTAAGTCAAACCAAATATTAGCTTGCATTCCATAGCATTCCCAACGATGGCAGTTTTTCCATGATAAATCCCGGCAGTTTTCGTCGCAGTATACGCAAATTGTGCAATATTTACAAGGAACGCTACTTATTATATCTTTTAAACAATTGTAGCATTTAAACGAATAGAATTCTTTGTTTTCTTTGAAAACGGGTGCAAAAATAAATGCTTTTTCTACAAAAAGTATATCTCCTCTTCGTATGTTGGTGCTAGCAATGATATGCCGGCCACTATCTTTGTTATACCTAAAAATGAAGCAAGTTCCAAAAACAAGTCACACTAGTGTGCTGATAAATATACCTCATCTTTACTTTATTGGATGCATAAGTTAAACAATTGTTTTCTCCATCTGGAAATTCTGGAATTTCTGGAATATTATCTTGATAATTTTCCAAGTTGCTTGGACTGCTTTCTAGCTTTTCAATATGATTCAACCTCATTGTGAATTTTTCTACAAAAATGAATGAACCAAATGAATAAAGTCCTAGCAAGGTAAATAAAAAAATCAAGTTTTTTGACGTGACTTAACTAAACAGGAGCACCGGGGATAATTTCGTAACTGTTGACAGCACCAAAATACTATTATACAATTACTTGTTTAGAAAACAAAACTCCACATAACGGGTGATCAAAAAGTTTTCAGACTAGAGTTGCCAATGTAAATATTTGTCATGTCTTTGATTAAACTGTAAAAGTCATGCATAACCTTTTTTTATTGACATGAAAGGTTATGTATGACTTTTACAATTTAATCAAAGACATGACAAATATTTCCATGGCTAACTCTAATCTGAAAACTTTTTGATCACCCTTTATCTACAACATGTATTTATTTTGATACTGAAAAAACGCCAACTGTAAAAACACCCTGCTTCTAAAATTCACTCAGCATTGATATGGTTAAAAATGGGATAAATATGTAAACATGTTAACATTAAAGTGGCAGAGAAAACAGAAAAAGTAATTCGCATTTTTACAAATATCTGTAACAATTATGTTTGATTTATAAAAAACCTAATTTGCTTATGCAGCTTGCATTGACATTTGATGGCCTTGAGTTATAGAAACACAACAATAATCCACCAATGCCTGTAAATAGACAAAACAAAAGACCTTGGAGATAACAGGTAATTGCTTAAAAAACTTCTAACTCTTACTCATCGTAAAAAATGTTTTTATAAACTTGCAGTTGTTAACATTAATACTAATCACATGATAATTAGCCAGCCTTTCATGCTAGTTTCTTAAAACGAATTACTTAATAAACAATCAATATCATACCTTTGTCTGGAATATTTTCAGACTCCAGAAAATTGAACACTTCTGATATGCATTTATTTAATGATTCTCTCTCATTCAATTCAAAGTAACACTCAGCTTTCCTGATGTAAATTTTAGGTTTCAAATCGGTTGGATAATTGGTTTTAAAACATAATTCAATATCTTTTAAACAATTATGAAACTCTTTCATTTCAAATGAAACTGCTGATCGATTAGCTAAAGCCAGTCCGTATTCTTTACTATAAGGTGTGGCATAGCACAAACTTTTTGTGTAAAACTCCAGACTCTTCACCAAATCCTTCTTAGCATAAAATGCATTGCCTTCTCTTCGATGCAACGTTGACACAGCATTGTTTTTTACAACTTTCTTTTTGAACTGGTTTTCTAGCCATAACTTTATGGGAGTCCTAAAAATAATGAGGTTTAATGTTATTTTTCCGTTGAGTAATTGTTAAACCACATACAAATCTGTATCGTAAAATTTCGCAAACACTTCAAATACGTTGCCGTCGATCTTCTTAAATATTTCTGTGTAATTTGCAACTAGGCAATCCATTTTTTGGTTAGCAGGTTATCTTATTTGTACACACCTGGCACACCTAAATGTATAAATACGCGTAATGTTCGAATATTATCATAAAATTCACTCCTGTTTAACAGGAATATACTTTGTAAACACTAATCTCTTATTTAGGTTAAACGGCAGAAGCAGATCACATTTTTAACTCATCTTTAACACCCATCTCGCCACTTCGTCGTACAAAAGAACTACCCGTTGAGGACATGTGAACTATCTAGAGTGAGATAGCCTGCCACAGAATATCAAAATAGAAAATAACGAGAGCTATGAGCCAAATTAGACACAAATGTTATTATTTTGTTTTAAAGATGATTATACGTATATTTGTGTTTTGTATATGTAAATAATGACTTGTTTTACCTATACGGGCATTACCTGTTAATAAATAGGTGATATCTGATATATCTAAGTTTGTAATGAGAGACAAATGATATTTTTGTTTCCTTTCTGTATCCCACGGTGATTCTATCCCAAGCAATCGTCTTTAGCCAGAAAGTTGTAAGGATCCAATTCGAATTTTTAAATTTCAAATGAATTTCGCGCGCGCAAGAAACAGTTGGTAAGAAGAAGAAAAGGAGGTTGGCAATCAACCACACCAAGAAAGAGAGGCATGCGCAAATGTTAGGGTGGTTTTGTCTCGTGTAAAATCGGGCACTTCCTTTTGATCGCTTGGAGAGAACAGACCACTTCTTTTCGAGCGCTTCGAGCAACAGGTTGTACTTTTAATTGTGAATTATTCTGTGCCTTTTGCTGTTGTGTTTTGTTTTTCCAGTGTTGATCTGTTCCATTGGAAAACGTGGCAGCCCCCGTTGAGCCATTGGGTGTTCCTGATTTCTCATCGTTCTTACGACGAGGTTTTTGCGTTCCTTTTGGCGGTAAGCCGTGTCGAAATCTTCGCATCTTTGGAGAGGTATGTTTTGAACACCTGTTTCGCGGCGAGTTTCAAGCCCCGACGATGCTTCTGACCTCGTGACACTTCGACGCGTGCGCTTTTTTTTCCACTAATCTCGTTTTTTTATCTTTCATTTAAAATCCATCGCAGTAGGGCTTTACAGGAAGTGATTTCTAGTTCGGGCCATGCTTTATTTAGCTATATTTGTGAAATCTGTATTTTGGATGGCGGCAAACGAGTTGTTATTTTCACCGTTCTTTGTTCAGGCAGCAGCCATTTTGAGGCGTCCATTTTCTTTCTTTTAAACGAGCACATGTTTTAACTGAATCTATTGAACAAATTAACAAACATTGTGGGTCATGGGGGGACGTGCCTTCTATTCCTTTTATTTAGCCCATCGTTTATACAACGCCACAGGATTCATCGTATTTTTGCATCGCATATTTTCGACGCCTATTATTTGGAATGACGAATTCGTCCAACGCCATTTTGCAACTGCAGCTTGTCTGCCATGTTTGTTTATGTGTTTTGTTTGGGGAAATGTATGTGTAATAATGGCTCACAATGCAGCTAAATAATTTCACGTTTGAATTTTAACCAATAACTTGACTGGACACTAATTAATATTAATCACATGTAAATCTGTTAACTTTACAATCTTTCACCTCATGCAATTTGTCTTTGTCTCACAATTTTAGCTACAGTAATTTTCTTTGCTGTATAATTTGAATTGAACGTAAATTTCCATGCTCTACAGTTTTGACCTAACATGATATTTTGTTTGCACAAGTTTATTTCACACCAGATCTTTGTTTTATAAATCTTTGCTAAGTTTTGATCATGTAAGTGTTTTGTTGATGAATGTTTCTCTCATATAAATTATCGGATGTCCAAATTTGATCTCAATTAAGAATTATTTGTTGTTGAATTTCCGTAAGAGTGTGTGGCGAATTTAAATGTTGTTGATTGCTCTTTGTTGAAACTTTAACATTTGTTCGGTTGTAATGTCATATTAGGGTTATAGAGTTTGAACATTTAAATAGAATTGAAGGTAAATAACACAATAACACGTAGTGTCGGCGATGGGCGCAGTTCCTAGTTGCGGTAGCGGAATGTGTCGCGCTCTCTGCACATATGTGCAGGCTTTGAACTAGATTTCAGTGGGAACGGTCTTGACGACGAGGTAGTAGTTGACCAGACTTCACCGCTAGTTTTAGGCCGAAACGGCCTGCTTGGACGGCATGCTCGTCATGGAGGGGTGCTGTCTGGCAGGCTTGGTGTAGATAGAATCACCGTCGCGGGGGAAACCAGCCCAGACCGGGAGCTCCAAACTTCGCTCACGCTACGACGCCCCCTCTGGGTATTTTGCTGTGCTCATAAATGAAATTGTTATATTTTGTTCTATGTTTGTTCGATCGCCACACTCTCATAATGATTCGGTTTCTGCCATCCAATTTACATATGTGTAGGTCTTGTGTTTGTTCGGTTTTCATATGTGTAGGTCTGTCAATTCGCGAGTGTTTTTCTTTCACATATCTTAAGGGTTTTGAAATGTAATAAAATGTCGTCCGGGAATAAAACCAAGGGGGTTTTTGCGCTGAGGGGTAAATCTTCGCAGCGTATTTCCCCCTGTGAGGGTGGTGCCGTTTCCCCCCCTCCAAAACAATTTCTGTTAATTATTTCTTGCGCTCTCGACAGTGTATGCACTTGTATGAAAGAACTTCTTCCCGCCATTTTTCAAAAGCAAAAAAAAAAAAACACAACGTAGGTTCTCATTTGTTAGACGATCACAGCCAAGGCCAAACTTTGAATTTTTAAATTTTTCGCGGGCCTTTCAAACTGTTTCAAGGTCAAAATTTTAAGGCGGGAAGTTTGGGTTATCACAAAGTTTTAGTGCGTTTACGACTTTGACTTCATAGCTTCATAATAAGCATTTTACACATTTTTAGTCGATCCTCAAAATTCAATAAATGCAAGCAATAACATGTTACATTACACAGATGGTTAGACCAAATATCATATTGAACTATTTTTTTGTTTACTCTTACAACAGGAGAGACCCAGACAAGCAGTTCTAGTGCAATCCACTGTGACACACTAGAGCTTATTTGAAATCAGAAGTACACAGCAATAAAAGAGCGCAGATACCAGTATTTGAAACACTATTTAGTGCGCATGAGCACTACTTTCACAGAATCAGCGGCGTCGAGAACGAACTTCCTTTACTTTTTGGACCTGTTTTGTACATTCTGGTGCTAACGCGTGCAACGTGCAAACCCCAACAACAACACTAATGGTCCGCCACTGACTCGTCCATACTATTCGCCCATCTTGGCGCTTTGCGCCATGGAAAAATAACTCTCATTGCGCATTCATCCCTCCCACTCGGTGTACTTCTGATTTCAGATAAACTCTAGCTATGTACAGTTCCATCACTTGAACAGCATCTAATAAAATTTTATTGGTATTTCAAAGTTAACCATGAAGGTTGGACCCACAATACCATAAATCACAAATTCAATGCAACCATGGATGTTTCTAGCCCACTATACACTGGCGGCACGCTCCTTTTATTGGCGTCATTATCCCCCTGCATTGTCCAACAATCCCTCAAAGTAACGGTTGTAAAATTTTACTAGGTCCTAATGTAGTGTAGGAACTGTACATAGATACGTGATCAAGATATTCAAATATCTTGTAGGTACTTCATTCAAATGTTTTTACTTTTACCCTCCGAAAATTTGTCACTGGTTAACGTAACATATAAGTAAAGCTGTGTTGTAGGAGAAAAATTAGTTCAAATTTCATCAAGACCCTCTTTTATTTTTACAGTTTTTAAATATTTCCAATTTTATACATCTTGTTAATCTGTTCATGTCAATAATTTGGCACATCAAACCATTCGTAAATTTTATCTTTAGTTTTGTCGAATTCATACTCCTTGCATTTTTTTCTTCTAGAATTATAAATGTAGTTCAGTAGAAGCATAACTAGAGCAAAATACTTACGGGATATAGGAGTATTTCTTACATGATACAATTGGATAGTCTAGACTATAGCACTGAGTTCCCAAGGCAGTAAAGTATAAATGTCCAACTTGCGTTGAAATTTGACTGTCTACCGACTTTAAGCACTTATGAAACTCTTCGTCACATTCGCAGTTTAATCTGTATCAATAACATGAGTTTTTTTAATGATGAAAACAAATAGCTACAATATATGTATACGAATCCGGAGTATTGTTATTTAGTTTTTCTTATTATTTTAAAAATTGTAATAATTTCACTCAACTCTTTTTAAACTTTACCTTGTGAAAAACGATGGATTGGTGAGGTTGTGCTTAGTTTGATAGCCTTCAATTATATCAGGACATAAATCATGATTTCGGCAACACTTGTCTGTGTCCCTAAATTCACCAAAATCATTTTCATCGTCTGCTATGTTTCCAGCTCCACACCACTTGGTACCTTATGGAAAAAAGTAAGGTAGAAGTCAAATTTACAAAGTTTTGACTACAAAATGTTACCGGGAAAAATCAGAAACCAATTAGGCATCCGTACTTGACCGGATCGACTTAACTCTTCATCTTCGATACTGTCAAAGTCAATGTTATTATCCCATACGATCTGAAATAATTCTGCACATTGCTGGTTCGCAAAGAAAAATAGAATTACAAGAAAATAAATCATGTTGTACCAAGTTTAATGGAAACTGCCACTGCTTAAGCTATAGTTTTTTTATATATATATTTTTGGAGATTATTTTGCATAATTTAATGTATCTTGTACTTTTGATTTGCTCAATCAGTTGATTACGACACATTGTGTAGAGAATGCATATCTGGATAGGTAGCTAATTTCAATAGATAATAAAACTATCTACATGTTTAAGTTTGAAACTGAATGTTTAATTTTATTTTGTTTTGATTTAAGGCAAGTTTCGTGTACCTTTGTTTTAAATTTACTTCAGTGATTATCTAATTACTCATGGTTTATTTATTGTTAAGTACTAAGTGTTTACATAAAATATTCTTTATCTTCCAATTGGATTATTAAATAGCTACATACATTATTAATGAAACAGTTTTCGTTGCATGTTGTTATCCATGTTGTGGATAAATAACAGCGAATGGCGTCAGTAATTATGATAATTATATCTCCTATTATTTATGATTATTATTTTTACTTCCGAAGCGTAAGCTGAGAATAAAGTATTGAGTCTATCCGACGAATGGCTACTTTCATGTTTTCTCGACGTTTCATGACTTTTAGCGGCTTTTGTCAGTGAGGAAACACGCTCAGTCTAGTTAAAAGTCAGTAATATATTTTTTTGGATGTAGATGAAAGAGTGATACCTACACGTAAAATGAATGATAGTTGATTTGTATAATCCAACTAGAGTAAAATATTCGAATAGAAAATCTACTTTGGATCAGTTATAAATATTAGGTGACTGGAATATTTTGTACTCAATATAACTGAGTAGTTCCCAAAATGTAGAGTAACATATATTTAGAGGTTTTTTTGTTGTGTCCAATTATGACTGATTGTAGTATAGTTAATAAGCTACAATATTGCAGAATCGGAAGTAATTTTCCTTATTGGTTATCTGCTTTTGAACAAACGTACCTATTTATCATAACAAAAATTTTACATTCAATTTATCTTCAGATTTGGACTTTGATTTAACGTTCACACATATCGAGGCTAGGGCGACCCGTGCGCTAGTTAAATCAAAAGAGTTTATGTCCACAAAATCTGAATCCAATTCAAGTCTGTACACATAGATATATATCTGAAGAAACATATATTTCCTAAGAAGAGTAAAACTAAATTTAAACAGCATAGGTACCTCTAAATCTATTTAACACCAAAATAATGTATATCACACACAGAGACGCACCCACACCAGAAGACATTTTAACTGGTTAAGACAAAAACAGTTGTTACGGAAAATTTTTGAAAGATTTAGACGAAGATTATGTCATTGACTAAGTTGAAAAACTCCAGTTTATATACAGAAACACGTTTTGGTTTGTCATTTAAATCAACTAATTAATACAAAAGGTTACAGAAAATGTATCATTAGGCAGAGGTCCAACAGTAAGAAACGACTATTGTGGATTTCGTGAAGAACAAGTTTTAATATCATCCTGATTAAACTGGCTTTCACAAAAAAAAAATAAAAACGCGTTGAAATCGGGACATTCGTTTGAGAATTACAGTACCATAGACAAAGGCTTCAAAGTTATCATACTACCTTTATATCACTTTGTACAGATTTGAATACCTACGTCGCTTTTAAATTATAAAATAAAGCAATACAATTACAAAATGTTTAAAAGTAATACTAATACTATACGTTTGTACTTGGTCCAAAAACGAAAACAATGCTTGGACGAGTTGCAAAATCTGCATCGCCTCTAAGATTGATTCAAGCAAAACCACTACTAAAATACAGGAAGAATAATCACGTCACAAATGACGCCAGTTAAACCCGGGCAGAAAAGGTCTGCCTTTCCCAAGTGACGAAGAAAAATAAAAGTATAAATCGAGAGTACAAAAAGAATTTTGGGACAACGAAGAATCGAAGCATTGTTTTCACTTGTACTTTTGCAGTAAGTGCAGGAGGTTTCACTAAGTATATCATCCGATTGGAAGATCCAGTAGACTTGTTTTCGAAAAATTGGCATGATATTCCAGTTTATTTCTGTGCTAACGATCTTGGTATGTAGTCACAGCTTTGGTATCCTTGTCGACTCCATCGTTATGAACTGTAAAGTGAAGATCGTTTTAAACTATCAGTCTAAGGTTTCTCTAAGGTGTAAATTATGTTCTACATTATCGGTAATGATATAAAACGCGTTTATTTACAATTTATGCAAACAAACTTCTTTTTCAATTTCTATTTATACTCGTATATGTCGTATGGGCTGACACAATATTTTATATTACTTTTAATAACTCGTTATTAATTATTTACACTACTAGTGGAAAAGTTTAGTTATATTTTTTCAACAGTTGAACGAGTGGGTTAAAAATATATGCAGCTTCATTCCGTACTAAATTAATTAATGTAACTGGTACACCGTGAGGGAGCTTAAATTAGAAAACACAGAAATCTCCTGCGTGAAAATTCTGTTTTAAAAATAAAATCAATCTGGAAGTTTTACCTTGTCGACTTTCGATTTTTCTTCATTGTTTTGTGGATGGGCAGACCTTTTCTGCCCGAGTTTGGCTGAAATTATTTTTGACGTGCCATTCTTCCTGTTGTTGCTGGTTTCAGCTGAACAAACGGTAAACCTAATGCAGATTTCGAAAGCTCGTCAGAGCAATATTTTTATGTGTGGGTACTTTTGTTGGGGCAAGTACAGACAATTTTACATTCGTTGTGGAAAATCCGGTTGACTTATTTTCAAAAGCGGTTGGCAAAATTTACAGTTCATTTCGGCTTTTTTTAGCGATCTTCTATGCTTTTCTTGTCGACCCCCTCGTTACAAACTGTAAAAGTTAAGATATTTTTTGTAAAAACCTACACGCACAACGATAATAATAGGAATGGATTAACAAATCGCAGGTCTATAGTTACTTAAAAAAAATTAGTGGAGATGCTCAGGCAAATTTTGTTCAACCATTTACAAGATATTCTTAAAATACATCTTTAATTTCAGAACAATCAGTCCAGAAGTTCGGACATTATCTGTCTAATTAAATCGTTTACGGAAGACAGATTGGCTGAAACAAACGATCTACTTTTTCATATTGTGGAAGGTGTGGAAGGTATTTTTATGTTGAAGGTGATATTATCTAGAAATTTAGGCTAAAACTGCAAAAATTAATTACTTTGAACTAGATACTTGTCTATTTATCATAACATCAACAATTTGGATTAAACACGCAATTTTCAGAGAGATAAAACCGATTCCACTAGCAAGACTTTTTAGTTCCGTTTTTCCCCAAGGCAAAAGTGATAACTGTTTCTCGTCCAATCTGAGGAAGTTTTTTCGTTTTCTGTAATCAACTTTTGATAAAATTACAAAAAACAGAGTTCTCTTCACATGATAGCTTAGTATCAGCCGACACCAATTTATAGTGATATAATACTTATAATAGGTATAATAATTTGCAAATAGACAGTTTTCCAAATTATGTAAGATCATATAATATATGGCACCACTAAAAACAAAAATGGGCAACAGCCATATAATTTTAGAGAATTTGGAAAACTATACAAGCAATGATAATCCAAGTTAATAATCGTCACTTACCTACGGACATGACTTTAAAATAACAATAAAACAATTGTTCACACAAATAACAATTAAAACACAATTTATCACGACGAATACAACTTATCATCCACTCTGTCTGAAATTTAATTAAATTGTTACAAAAACTTAAATTTAAAATCTTGAATTACTATTGGTTGACCGCGGTACGCGCCTGCTCTGTTTAACTAATAGTCTAACATGTAATATTGATTGCATATGTAGATCATCTGAGTAAATATTTTTGAAAGAAAACAGTTGACTGTTGCTGGGTTCAACTTATTTTTACATACAACGTGTCCATAAATGATTCTGGTATTCAAGGATGGATCTGGCATTTCTTTTCTTAATTAGATTGACGTCTTACTAACATACTCTTAAATATGACTAATCATGTAGTTGGATGATTGGGGATGACCATGTCAATTACAACCGGCTCATCAAGAGTGGCACAATTTTTTGAATTTCAGTGTCGCCCTGATCATGTAGATATTGTGGTGACCGAATTTAAATCAAAATTTTCGCGCTGAAATTAATAAACAGCGGCGCGAAATCACATTTGAATAATTTGAATTTTAAAGAGAAAAAATTCAACCACAAAAAAGAAATCGTTAAACATAGGCAACCAGGTGCACGGTAACGCTCGCTAGATAGTTGGACAATTAGTAGCGCTAGGGGATTTTAGTTGGAGGGTTGGTGGTTAGACAGAGGGCGACATGCCGGAGCGTCAGTCTGAATGTGTTTTTGTGAATGTAAACACGTGGTAAGAGCTAGTTTAAATTAGTTGGTTTGGTCGTTAATAAAAGTGAGGAGGCCTTTGTTTAACGACAATCAATCGTAACTTCTATAATGACACAGTTTACCCCAAACCGCGCGGCTAATTCTTGCGGAAAAAAGTGCGGGCTTTCGTCCAACGTGGAACACGTGCTGGAAATTTGTTTATTGTTTGTAAATTCACCAATCAAGTTAGTTTTTCTTAATCGTTAGCTAGTACAAACACAATTTAACAATCAGGATTATTTAAATAAACCACTTGCTAGAAAATTTCATGAAATTCACTTAGTCAGGAAAACACCTTTGTTGTTTAATTACGAATAGGTTTCTGGATGCACATACGTAAGTGTTACATTATAACACTTCTTAATTCTTCACACAAGATTGCTAATAGTTCATTTACGGCAGTTAAACAAAATTCATTATACTGCGAACTGGCGGGGGGTTAAAATAATTTCTTCCCTTAGGCGGTTATCGTCGTTATCATGATTACATCACTGAGGCATGTCCTTGTAACGCTAAAGATTGATTACATCATCGAAGCTTGCTCTCACAACGCTACAGATTGATTACTTCATCGAGGCATGTCCTCGCGACGCTAGGGATTAATAACACCATCGAGGTATTCCCTCGCAACGATAAAAACATTACATCACCGAGACGCTTTTTCCTCGCAACGATGATTGGATATTTTTGTGTCTGTTTATCATGTGTTTTGTTGGGGTAACCAGTTCGCGGTATTCTAAACTCTCAAAGTAAATTGTTTTTTTGAAGTAACCAATCACTTGGATCATGATATAATTTAACATAATCTAAACTCTTTGTTTGAATCGTTGATAAAATGTGGCAAGTATTAATCTCATGTCAATTTTGTTAACTTTGCAATTTTTCACCTCATACAATATTTCTCTATCTCACAATTTTAACTTCAGTAATTTTCTTTGTTGTATAACTTTAATTGAACGTAAATTCCATGCTCTGCAGTTTTAACCTCACATAATATTTTTATTTGCACAAGCTTATTTCACACCAGATCTTTTGTTTCACCGTAAAATTATTTGATGTCCAATTTTAATCTCACATAAGAATTAGTTGTTGTTTAAAATTTCACAAAATTGTATGGAGAATTTAAATATTGTCTATTGTTCTTTTGAAACTTTAACACTTGTTCAGTTGTTGTTAATAGCAGAGTTAAAGGAAATTGAACATTTAAAAATGGAATCGAGGTTAAATTACACCGAAACACGTAGCAGAAGCGTAGGGCGCGGCTCCTCGTGGCGGCTAGCGGGATTTATCGCGCCATCTGCACAAGGGTTGCAGGCTTTGAATAGATTCAGTGGGAACGGTCTGGGCGATGGTGTGTTGTCGGCTTGACTTCACCCCCAGTTTTCGACCGAAACGACCTGGTCAGGACGGCATGTTCGTAATGGAGAGATGCTGTGCGGTAGGCTTGCTGATAGATAGAATCACCGTCGCGGGGGAGACCAGCCCGAACCGGTAGCCCCAAACTCCGCTTGTGCTAAAACGCCCCAGGGGTACTTTTATTGTGCTCCTATTAACTGCCGTAACTTTAAAATCTGCCACCACACGCCCGTAATAACTTGTGTATTTGCATCCAGTTACTTTAATTCAGATTTTGCTTTGTTTTATTAAATTTGTGATATTCAAATATTTGCATTGATTCCAAACATTTGTATAGGATTTTGTGTTTGTTCATATTTTCAAGGTGTTTCATCTGAAATGTAATATGTCTGTGAATATACGATAGGGGGATTTGGGGCTGAGGAGTGAATGCGAGATGGCAACTCCGTGGCGCCTTCGCTCGCAGCTTCTTTCCTCCTAAAGAGGGGGCGCAATTTTTTGCCTCCTCCTAAAAA